GGGCTGAATTATACCCTGCAGCACAAGATTCTGTATATCTTCCAAAGCTGGTTATATTTCCAATGCACCACATGCCCACATAAAACAGAAAAGAAAACAAGTTATTAATTTAAAACATCACACGTGTATAAAACCTCCCTTTTTCTCTCTTTTCCACCATGAAAGCTGCCCCAGATTTTTGTCCTTCCTACCTGTAAATTAATACATGCCAGCCAACATGGCCACAACCAGACAGCTTGTTAAGTTGCAATGCAGAAGTCAGGGTGAAAAGATTTACTCTCAGATACAATGCCTTATCTAAAACAAAGGTGAAAGCTAAACACACCATGACAGACATCTATTTCCTCCTCCCTCCTCCTCACCCCTTAGCTTAAGAGTCTGAGTTGCAGCTACTATGAGAGTTGGTGAAAATATTTAAAACAAGAGTTCCAACAACATGTCAATGGCTCTCATTTCGACTYGCTCCTCATTAGTACTACTGTCAAATAACAGCCAGTGCTTGACCAAATTCAGCTCATGGAATATGCTGGCTGATGCCAAACCAGAGTTGGATGGAAACTCTTTAAAGAGGTGGACCATCATCACAGATTTATTTTTACATATCRTGCCTGCTGAACCGTCACATAACTGAACACACAAGCAATGTTTTCTGCTACCTCCAGGTGGTTAGGAGGCTCCAGGCCCAGTCTGAGAGAAAATGATTTGGCTTCAGTAATACACACAATCATCACATTACACAGGCATGAAGTAATCAGTCTAAAGAAAGCTAACTAGTATAGGATGTGGCAGCACAGATTCTCAAAAGAAGTACGCCATTTCTTCAAACCAGTCAAATATATTCCTGTCACTGAGGCTTTCATTGACCTCCACCCAAGAAATAATTTTCTTAAGATCTAAAAATAACCACTTCTTTTCTTAAGTAAACAAATAAAACATAAAACCTCAAAGAAACAACAACAAACAAATGCATTCTCTCTTCCCCCCCTCCCCCCCTTCACCTAATCATCCATATGAAACACATCCAGAAAACAGAACAGAAAATGCATGTTGAAGAATGTACACTGTTCCACCTCCTGTGGTCACTTTTGTAATGATGATAGCTTCAAATTATTTCTTATTTGGAGAAGAAAAGGAYGCTGAGGGAGATCCCTATATCATAGAATGAATTCAAATACGATAGCAGAGAGGACAACATATTTAAATGATCAGAAAATAATAGTTTTCATAAGGAACCCAACCTCAAAGTAACACAACTTCAAAGTATCAATACAGCCAATGCTATTTTTGTTGCAGACACAAGAAAAAACATATTAAGATTGCAGCTTTAGCAAAAACAGGTCTTTCTTTCTTACACACCTACAACATCATTTTACTATCTCCTTCCCTGAGCCTTAGCATTAAGGAACTTTCTTACTCCACAGCAAGTTGCATCACTTACCTGAAGAAAAATCTGGCTAACCAAATTTGCAGGGCAACAAGGAGAGTAGCAGGATAGCACCAGAGGGAAGACAGCTCCTTCTGCTCAGACTGCCATCTTTAGCTGCTCTTTTCATGCCCACCTGAGCTAATCTAACAGCAAAGTGGGAAAGGCTTGTGTCTTGTTTTCTCTGCTCTTCTCCCTTCTCTCATTGACCCCCTAGTTTTCTCTCATTTCTTCTGTATTTCCCATCTAGTTTCCCCCCAGAAGGCATTCCTCCCATGCAGTAGTTCTGATAATTGTCACGGCTTCTCATGAGACAAACACAATTATTTGCAGCTTAAAGGACTTATTTTTGCCAGTTAGAATACCCTGCAAATAGTATTGCAAGAATATTTACTTTAGAAATCTTATCTACTGGTTCTAAAGTAGTCTTGAGAAATATGAACATATGAAACACAGAAGCAGAAAAAAAACCACATGCATTGAAAATAGTCACAAACTTTTTCACTAATGATTGAGCATCCTGTTGGTAAAATCAGTCTTTCACTTATCTGCTGCAATGTGCATCATTAACTGAAGAATTCTGGGACAGAATTGTTTGTTAAATTCCAACAAACACTTCMTCCCTAGGCAATTATGCCCTTGAAGGCATAATTTATAGAAAAAGTCAACACAAACTCTTTTACATGATGTTGTGCTTTCATTCTTGGATGCTGGGTTAGTAAAGAATTGTTAATTTGGATGAAGGGTGAAGATGTAAAGAGAACACTTTTGAGTATATTACAGGTTATGGTTGTTAGAAATATTAGATTAAAAAGATTAAAATACAGCTAAATCTAGGTGTATGTTAAAGAGAGGATATTTAGATGAGGAAAACAAAGTTATTAAATAAATGTTATAATTTGCACCTCAAAAATTYGTTAGAGGATGTGAAAGTGAAACAGCAAAGGAAGTTGAAAATCAAGGAGATTATCTATGCTATTACATTATGAAGGATAAATAACTTGGAATGCTGAACAGAAACAATTTTTAGGTTAAATTTTAGGCCTAACTTCTGGAGAAACCATCTGTTTATGTATTTCTTATGCTTTCTGGTACTGCTGTTTCAAAATGATCAGGTTAATATTGAGATACAGCATTAATGTTTGAAGACTTTTCAAAATGATTTTACAAATCTCCAGCAATCTCTCAGATTTTTTTCTAACATAGATTCCATTAGACACATAAGAATATGCCTACCRTGAATCCAGAAACTATATAATGCATTGGGTGCAAAAGTGGATAATTTATTTTAAAAGCAGATAATTTGTTTTAAAATGGGCAATGCTCTGAAGTTCATCACAAATATTCAGACTACAAAAAGGAAAACAATTTTTATTATGAAGATGATGAAGCACTGGAACAAATTGTCCAGTGAGGTGGTCATTATCTCATCCCTGGAAATTTTCTAGATCAGGTTGATTTGGGCTCAGAGCAACCTCCTGTAGATGAAGATGTTCCTGCTCATTGGGGAGATCGGACTAGAGGTCCTTTATACTTCCAACCCAAAATATTCGATTATTCTATGAATCTGTGATCACAATAGCTATTAAGATAATMATTAAATTGTTAATTTTTGATAAAATGTCAAGTGTGAAAATATTGACATCACTCAGAAGYATTATCTATTCTTGTCTGCCTGAGAGCAAAGTATGAGCAAGACACCTATTCTTTCTATATTTTCAAAGAAAAAATGTGAGRTATTCCTGTCTCTTGTTAAGAATGGGCTACTTGCTCAGTGTCAAACAACAGACTAAAAAAAAAATTAAAAAGAAGCATAATATGAAGGACAAAAGGAAGCAAGGATATGAAAGTTCAGTAGAGAAGAACTCAAGATGACAACAAACTAATTTTTTTAATGACCGAAACATGTAAAGAACAGAGCAAGAACCTCTTCATTTAATTTTCTTCTTCATGAAAGAATAGGAAGCTCTATAATTCCCAAAAACAATAGGAAAAATAATCTAATAATTTTACTTCTACTCATTTCTTAGTAAGAGACACTTTTACATATGAAGAAAGAACTCAGCAAGGCTCTCAGAAAGGTATTGAGGATGTATATTATGACATAACTCTCTCAGAATTCAGTTAGAATACCCAAATAATTCAAGTCTGAAAGCTATGTCTCAAGGGCAAGATAATTATTTCCAAAATTTTGGAATTTGTTACATCAAGCCTTTCTTCTGTATTAGGCTACTCAGGAAATTGTACATTTTCCAAATGATATTTAAGTAAGTAAACTCCTTAAAATATCTGCTGACTTTTTTCAGAATCTTATCAAAGAAATTCAAGAACCATTTGATTCATACCCCATAGCTTTGACAATGTAACAATAGGAGGAAATAAAAACATTCTCCATCAGTGGCATTTATCTAGCTTTAAACATTGTCTAATAGTTATTGTTTCTAACCTAGGCAGAATAAAAATAAAAACAAAAACCCCCCAGACCCACASTGGCAGCAGATTTTTCTTTTTTCATTATTCGAATTCCTTTTCCCTTAGAAAAGCACAAGAAGCAGGATCACTCCAATTGGGAAAGATACTATAAATTTGGCATGTGTTTGAAGTCAAAGGAACCATTTTGAACTTGTTTGAGTCTCTGTTCCTACTGGGTTTTGTTTGTTTGTTTGTTTGTTTGTTTGTTTGTTTGTTTTTTGTTTTTGATTTTGTTTTTCCTGAATTTAAGCCAAAGAGTAACTTTCTGATGAGGTTCTACTAATCCAGCCTTTTCATGACCTTGCTGGATATGAATAACCAGTCTTTTCTGGTAACCAACAGTAGGTAGCTTGGTAATGTTATTCAGATTGGAATAATATCAATGACTGTTGTTAATGTGACAATATTAAAAGAGATATGAAATACCAACTGTACTTACAAGGAAAATAAAAAAGAAAAAGCAAATATATGAATAGAATAAAATTAACTGCTAAGAACACAAAAGTAACCACCCAAAATCAGACAAGTTCTATTTAGTCCAGTGTCTACTCCTTGTCAATGGCTAAAAGTCTGTTTCTGAGGMACAGAAACAAAAAGGAAAACATTTTTTAWTATGAAGATGATGAAGSACTGGAACAAATTGTCCAGTGAGGTGGTCATTATCTCATCCCTGGAAATTTTCTAGATCAGGTTGATTTCGGCTCAGAGCAACCTGCTGTTATTTTATATTTAAGTATTCCCACCTCCAAGCATTTTCAGATTTCTCCCAAGAAAGGAGARTTAAACAATTCAAATTCAGCAATGCATTATTATTATTCACATCAAAGCTTGTGGCCACAAGTAAATTATTTTTGCAAGAARTGGTAAATGCACTCTCTCATGACCCTTTTTCCAAGGAAAATTGGCAAGTCAGTAGCAAACCTGAATAATTTTCTTGCAAAATAATCTTAAAAAGTGTAAAATAAAGAGATAAGGAAAAAATGATACTCAAATATCATAACAAAAACAAGACAGCAAAATGTAAATCGTTAGTGTTTCTGCTTTTTTGCAAAATGATAAAAAATTCAGAATAAGCAGCATAGACATTTCAAAATAAATGTCTTACCTCATATGCATGGCCCAAGAATGAAAACTGACTTCTGAAGTAGCCAAATTTGTAAACACCTATGAAGACTAAACAGCGGATGATTTCCAAAATTCCTGCTTTGGACCTAGAACAGAAAACCAATTCAGATAATTGTACAATTTTTTTTTTTTTTTTGCTAAATTCAGTGAAAAAGAGAAAATAGAATTAATCCACGATGTCCTACACTTACATCAAGTCATCTTTCTTAACTTTATAGTTAAATTTTTATTGTATACACTTTACACAGACTTAAAATATGAATTTGGTGGTGGTGAGAATAAGCATACTTGCGAAATATATCTGAATATATCTCMCACAAATGTAGCTGTACATGTAGTTACTCTCTTTTGAGCTATAAAAATTACCACAACAATCTGAAAACTGCTGCATAAGCAGTTCAGAATCTTTTCAGTGGTACACGTCTGTAAAGTTTTACTAATTCTTCTGAATTAATTCCCTAGGTTATTCACATCTCTCATGTTGACAGATTTTTACCTATCCTGAACTAAACCTTTCAGTCTATAAAAGTAAAAGGTATTCCTTTCTGAAAGCATAATGAACAGCAGGTGCAAAGCAGTACTGGCACCTCAATCTCAATGGAAACTTCTATTCCACATTTCTTCTCTGGCAGAGCAAATAATTTCTTTGTAAGAAACTGTGGATGCTACTTACTCTTCTTTAGGGCCACAGTGCCCAAATGGGCTACTCCATAATGTATCTCACCAGCCTGGTGTATTCAAGATTTGATTTTATTGAAGCCATATGGATTTAGTCTTAAACCTAMACCATCTTTCACATGATTTTGTGCCTACTCTGAGCTACACTTTGTGCTTTTTATATACCAGCACTGGCACCTCTGGCATGCCACACAGGACTACCACAATGTGGTTGCAGTCTGACCTTGAACGGCCTTGGGATAACCAGCAGGTCCCACTCACCTGCCAGTGTCCCAAACCCAAAGGAATGGAACCAATAAATGCAAGCACAGGGGGAGATATGACCAACCCATCCCAAAACTTCTCTGCAAGGGACAATATCGATGTAGGCAATATTTGTTACAATAATGCTCCTGGATTTTAGGTGCCAGCTAGTTGTGTGCTATTTTCTAGTTAACAGACAGCCACATGTGTGTCTGGGTATCTGTATTTCTTTMTCGATATAATTTCTGAGGTTTACATATAAATAATCCATAATATAAGAATTAAAACCCATGTATTTTGTATCTTACTTGTTCTCCATAAGTAGTCCAAAAGATGCCAGGGACAGAATGATAAAAGCAATTCTCAGGAGAACTGTTCCTTGTGATAGCATCTGTTAAAAGGCAGACAAAGAATTCATTTAGAGCAATTTTCTGAAGAGAAATTGAGTTTTTATGGAACAGATTTAACTTCCTCAGTCAGTGATGCTAGAGTCCCCTTTTAAAGTAATTTACTATCTCAAATTTTACTAAAAAACAATCTACTCTGGATAGCACACATACCTGGAGTAACCACCTTCACAGCTGTTTCCCGAATGCTGTATTTCAAAAATAATGTTTTATGTTATCCCCTTCTGTCCTATGTGGTTTTTTTTTTTTCCCCAAAGTTATTTGATTTCCTTTTGACTCAAGAGGAAAAGAACTTATTTCTAGAAAAAAATCCCAGTAGCCTCTGGGATTCTTTTAATTTCATCTTATGTTACCAGGCCTTTACAACAGTCATCTTTGAATCCCAATGGATACAAAAGCCAATGCACCAAGAATAACAATTCACATGACCTGATCATATTTAACAAGAAACAAAATTAATGTTTTCCCTTCATGACAACTCGACACTTGGTTCCCAATTGAGTAAAACTTTTTAGCTCATATCATTAACTTCAAGCAGACTAAAAACACTTTTAAAAATTAACACATGCATGTGTACTTGGATGAATACCAGCATGAGGACTTCTGTCCTTAAAATTTACATCAAAATGATGTTATAAACAAGATTCAGGAAAACAGAAATTATTTTGATTGTAAAGTCTGATTTTTTTTTTCATTTATTAAACATTTATTTTGTATTCTACACAGCTGCCTTTGAAAACCAAACACTTAATCAGTTTTCTTTTCCCCTCCCTGATTTTGTTTCAAATATTAGTTTTGAAAAGCTTTTGGTTTTTTTTTTTTTTCATAAAAACAAAACAAAACAAAACAAAAGCAGTGGATCTGACCGAGTTATAGAAATCCTTTCTTGCTTCAGCAGCAAAACAATTTATGAACAGCATCTTGCACTTCAATTGCAGGCATTGGAAAAATAAAACCCCGAGAATTTCTGCCCTGATTTCAAYAAATCCCATTCAGTGACATGCCCAACTTCCTTCGGTCGTGGCCCCAGCCCCTCAAAGAGATCTAAGGTAGGAATCTGTGAGCATGGGAGGCCACAGGAGGATATGCTCAAATTTTACAGCTGTGTGAACTTAGAGTGCCCATGTTTGCAAAACACATCAAACCACACACTCAGTCTGGGCAGGTTTCTGTTGTTTTACTGAAGCATCACAAACACCTACTTAGATATCCTCAACAGTGATTGAATAAAGAAAACTCAATCCCAGCAAAGAGCAAGCCAAACAGCAGCCTCACCAGTTTACAAGCCAGAACAGAATTCTCACAAATGACACCTGTCAAACCACTCTGTTGCACAGATTTGTACCAGGCAAGAATCAAACTTACTACTGCATTTCTACATTCCCAATCTGCTCCATTTCTCCCTATGATAAACTTTCCATTGTTAGCAATGGCAGAAATTTTTTTTGAAGTGACAAAATGTTTGGAYAGAGCTTTTTTATAAAAAGGACCCTATTTGAATTTAATTAAATGAGGAGTTCTTTAACTGCTCATCTGAGCCATACATCTCACTTCAGCATCTTGAAGAAACTGGGTCATACAAAAATTCAGGAAGTAAGCACAGAAAAATATTATTTGGCACAGGTATAAGGGAATTCACCCATAAATTTCTTAGAAATGCTTTGATAGGCGTCTCAATGATTGCTACTTGCCAAATAAAGGAGTTTTCCAGGGAACGAGGACTGAAATTCAAGACTTTTCTCCTTAAAGACTGTCCTCACTTTTAAGTTGAAAAATTACACCCTTTTAAAATCTACTCATCCTTGCCAGGTGGGTCTGATTCTTCTTTGTTTCCAGTATGATGCACCAGACTATTCTGAGAAAAGGACAGCAAAGTTTGGTATCTTCTTAGGCCAGAAAGAAAACTGAACATGAAATCCGGATTTCCATCTAGTCATGGAACTTCTATTTTACAATATATGGCTAAAATCATACTTTGGGGAAAATGACTTGGTTTTCATGCAAGTGCTAATACTTGTCTTCAGGAAGGATCCAACACTGCATGCTGTGAATGAGCTAGAGTGTCCCCAGTTTCCAGTTTTAAAGAGCTGCATGATTTCAAACTTTTCAGCCTTTCCAGTGCTCCTGAGCTGGCTAGCTAGCCCCAGGCATTTGGGTTTCCTTTTGATTCAGCTGCAGAAAACTGAGGTGCTGATTCATTCTACCTGCCTTTACGAACTTTCACTGAAGTGMCTGAAACCTAAGCTTTTGCTGAAACTTGTGGAGAGAGCACTTTGGGAATGATTCTATTTCTTGCCATGAGCTAGACTGCAAGCCTAAAGCCTAAATTTGGTACTGCATTAAGAGTTGGATTTGAGCAGATTATGGAAACACTTCCCAAAAGCAGACACTTTGGGTCATGTTTTAGTGGTGGTTTTACCCATAACTTCTATMAAATACTCTTTTCTTTGCTTAAAGACATATTTTATTTGACATTTCTCGAAGAATAGAAAAAATATTATTCCCCACATTTATCTAACACAGAAGAATAAAGCAGAGCCTAAGAAACTGAAAGAAAATCAATAAACTTCAGATCAGTTTTAAAGATGGAGTTTCAGCAAGAAAATGGGAATAGAAATACATTTTGATGTATGCTTGTAAATCAGAAGAACTGAAGCAACCTTGTGATTTTTAAAAAAAAATTAAACTCAAATGTAAACAAGCCTTTAAATTATTAAAATGCTACATGAGGTTCTTTGGCATAATAACTACCTGAGCCAGGTGGGATCATATTTTACAGATTTGTTTTTTTCAGACCAATTTCCATTTCTCTTCAGACACTCCTAYTTTAACCAAGCTATTTTTAACTCTAGCTATTTGTAAAACTCCTTATGGTCAATACCTGCTTGTGGCCCACAATATTGAAGATTGGAGGACTCTAAAGCACAGCCTGGAGGTCCTGGTTAATTTCAAACCTGCACTATCATCAGATTCACACAAAAGCATGGCTCTGTAATCCCTGAGCACAACGTGGCAGCATTCCACTTCCCCAAACATCAGCTTTTGGAGCRGTCAAGGGTGAGGCAAAAAGCCTTACTGGGAACCATGAAGGTAGAAGGTACAAGTTACCCTTCACTGTAGGTACAGGCATCATATTGACACACAACAAAAAAAAATCTGTTCCCTCATTTGTACTCCTAGTCAAGGATTACCAAGAAATTTTCTGTGAAATACACCATGATGCCGTTGGGAATAACAGCTTTTAGAAAACCAGCCATATAGCATAAATTTTACCACTGTTAGTTTGCTTCCCTAACTTTCTCTTACAGTTCCAGTGGTATAGTAATATGCTGCCTTGATTCTTTTATTTGCTTTCAAACATGTATCACCCCATGAAGTGGACGCTGGCAGCTGAGGCATCCATTTTCTAGGCATTTCTCCACCAAAATCAACAAAATAGTCAGTGGGTTATATCACTAAACTAACATCATACATTAAATCTATGCACTGCAAGCAGCAGTGTGAAAAGAATGTGCCTTTTACACCTTCATTAGTGTTAGCATCGTTGTTCCACCTAAACACAGTATGCATGGATGTATATATAAAATAAATGAGTATTTATATACTGGAGTATTTRTATAAACAGAGAAGCATGTGGGACCACAGCAGGTTCCCCAATTACAAGTCAGCCACAACTTTGCAATGTGGTTATTGGCTGCAAKCAAACAGAAAAAAATATTTCTGTTGGACTTTCATTTCATTGAAAGCTTTAAAAATATCTTTATGCCTTAAATAAAGGGGGGGGAAGGGGATTATAGAATTTAGTAGGAAGTTTACAGGTCTTTGTAACCAATAGAAGRCCATACCATTAATATTTTATGTTTTTTTTAGTAATGAAAAACTAATTAATTTAAACAAAGAAAATGTTATTCCAAAGCCATATTTAGATGAGCATTGAAATATTCCAAAATTAATTTTATATTGCAAAGAATAGGCTTTTTTGTTCCTTTTGTAGAATAACATGGATGCATTTTCTCATTCTTTTTGATTTGTCCAGTGGTTCAAGAGAACTGCTAGGAATGATGTCAACACATTTCATAAGCTGCTCTCATACATCAAACATTTTCAATATTCAAATTAGGAATCCTGATACAATRCCATGAAATTTCTATTGTTAGGTGTCTTTGGCTGCATGAATAAATTTTTACTTAGAATTCTTAGAAGAAATTGTAAATTGCATACACAGTACTTGGTGATGCCCTACTAAATGAATACATTATCTGTGTTCTAAACTTTCAAGAGATCAATCTTACCCCTTACTACTTTTCATCTAATTGAAACTGCTCACATATTTTTATAATTATAAGCACAGTAAATGTTATAGTATCTACCAACAGTTTTAAAAAAGACACTGTAAGACTTGTTTAAGGTGAATTTCACTTTGATTTATATGATACCTGCAGTTCTGGAGCTATGAGACTTTTGCTTTGAATGCACTGCAGTTTTACACTCCTAGCACTCTCTCTGGGACTGATCCAAATCCCATTTTTTCAATGAGCTTTGGATCAGATCTAGATGTGCAGAGCTCAGAAAGCAATTTTTATTCGCTGGACGTAGTGCAGATCACTATATAGAAARCAAACATTGTATGCTCCCTCCTGTGGAAAATATATATTTATTCTTTCCTGTTTTGCTCTTTTCCTAAGTTAAATGTAGGTCATTCAGACAGAAGGTATATGGTTGCTCTTTACGGATAGAGAAATTTAACACTTCTACAGGGCGTGAGACCAAACACTGAGCAACTGTAATCACTTGAGAAATGTAATAGCTGTGTGCTGTGTCTTATGGCTATTATGAAATGGAACTTATACCTAAAGATGAGGAAAACAGTTAGTTTTCTCCATTTATGGAGCTATGCCATAGTTATGACATAATTCATAGCCAGACAGAACGTTCCAGTTGTATCCATAGACATTTCATAACTCAGTGTAGTGGAAAACTGATATTGAAGAAAGGTTTTTGCCAAGTAAAGTTATTCATACACAAGCTTCCTTCTCATGACAGCTTCCCCACTGTACTGCAGAGCGATGCTGGAACTCTGCCTTGGGACCAGCACTTTCTACACCCACGCTGAAGGTTTATGTCCTGAGATGAGGTGCTTCCAGTCCCCTGTGCTCTCCTCCTTATCCTTACTACCTTATTATTCTGCAGTTTTGTGCARAGGATTTTCTAGCTGCTTTTCTGCAATAAATTCATAAGTGGTGGATCTTCAAGATGTTTCCTCCATGACTGAAAGAATTTAATTTTTCAACTTTCTTTATTACTTATTCTTAAACAGCTGCAGTTACCAGCAGATAAAATAATGTGGACTCCCCATTTCCCCTTCCAGGATCAGAAAAAGGCAAAAAGAAAAAAAATAATAGAAAGAAATCAGACTCCTTCATTTGTGCTGCTAAAAACAATACCAGAACAAAACAAATTAAAAAAACTCTGAAACACAGAGTTTGATCCCTATGCAAATCTGGGAARCATATCTGGAAAATCTTGCAGGGGKTTTTCTCCATATAAGAACACTGGCAATCATGTATACTGTTTGACTTGTATATTTTGGAGGTTTTTATTCCTACCTTTGGCTTAATTTCCTGTCCTTAGAACAGACTAAGCCTCAGACGACTTAGTAATCTCCWGATTCCCTGCAACTGCAGAGTGACCCTTTGCAGAGACAAACACGATGTGCAGAATAACTCCATACTGATCAGAAGAGTATGCCTGAGGTAGCTTTTATATTATACCAGGAATGCCACATACTGCAGTGTCCAGTGAGGTGGGAAGGGGACAGTGACCACTGCTGGCCACAGGTTGGTGACTGCCAGGTGAGCACGCCAGGACAGGGCAGTCCCACAGCAGAGCAGAGGCTGAAGAACCCAAAGGGCCCTTGSCATGCTTGCAGCCTGCCTATGGCAACGTGGGTGACACAAACACAACAAGAGCATTGCTGTTGGACTAAGAGGGTCTTAGAAAAGGTCTAAAGAAGAAGACTGAAGTGCATTTTATCAACTAAGAGACTTTTGTGGTGTTTTGGTAGGTTTTGAGAGGTTTTTGACTTATTTATGAAAATATTAGATGCATTACATTCTGCTTCCTAACTAGAAAATTTCAACTTTAGTACATGAGGGAGAGTTATAAAGGAAAGAAGAACAAAAGGAGCTTGGAAGGATGTGAAACTTTGGAAGCAGTTAATGTCACACTTCTTATAGGTGGAGATGGCATTGCAGTTCACCTTCAGAGGTGTCTCAGAATCCATAGAGGAACCAGTTACCACGGAGGTCCCATCAGCCCAAACCCATGGTGACAAACACATGCCTCTCTTTGCTGTATTTCTATCAATRCTGTTGCATGATGGAGACCAGAAAAAGCATTTGCACTGACTTTGTGCTCCTCCAACTTTGAACTCATGCTGGCACCAACCTTCCTATCAAGCACTGCAAGATCATTGCAATCTTCCTTCAAGAGCCTGGGTATCTGASAGTATGACCAACCTTGACATCTTAAAACCTATACAGTTTCAAGCCTCATGAGGTTCTAAAAGCTGAAGCAGCCACATATGTCTTYTAGGCAAATTATTCATATTATGTAAGCAACTGCTATGGTTATTAAAAACTGCTTACTAAATAATATCAAACAYTGTATGTTTAATAGCATGGAATTACATATTTAGCCATTTATGTTGATTCTTTTTACAGAATCTAGTTATTATTTCAATAGTTCAATMAGATATGAGCCAGGCTGTGTAGTCTTTACTCAGTGATTTAATATTTTAACACATTGTGYGTCATTATTGTTAGCAGGAGATATTATTTATACTATTATAAAGGTAGGAATTACTTACAGTCACAGAAGCAAGAAGTTCGGTGTACAAGTCCACTATTATAGCAAAATGTACAAGTGCATAGCAGTTAAGATAAGCTGGTACAGGYGGATTGAAGGGAACTTCTTTTCCAGTGATCTGCATAAAGGAAAACAGACACCTGCACTCAAGAGTGACCTGCTCCAGGCTGTTATTCCTTAATATTCTTTACACTTAAAAATACGAAAAGGGAGACAGACAATTGAACAAAGATAATCTACTGTCAAACTTATGTACTACCTAGTTTGAGATAGAGTTTAACTGTGCCTTTCAACAACTGGGAGAAAAAAAAAAATAAAAATAAAAAAGAGCAACTACTGTGCTCCAAAGAACAATTTTGAAAATCTCTTCAGGAAATGAATAATAAAAAAAATAAATAAAAAAAAATATTTTTTTCCTTCAAATAAAAAGGAAGAAAACCCAACAAACCCACAGCTAAAACATTCATTTCCTTCAGTTTATTTTCCCATTTCATCCTCCCCTATGCTTTATGACTGCTAATTTGTTAATTTAAAATAGCATGTGTAGAGTTTTTAACATTGATCCAGTAGCATTAAGAGGTCCAAGTAAATTACACACAACTGAAAGCCTGTGCATGTTCTATTTACCACCGGGATTTCCTCAGGAAGGCCAAGTCTAGGTTTGCCTGGTCCCCAGCCTGGCCCTTTGAATATGACAGAAAGCTTATTGCAGAATCCAGGTGTGGCCCAAAACGTGTTCCAAATATGAGCCAAGGGACGTAACTGGGAAAAAAAGAGCAAGTAATTTTTTATTTTTAGCAAAATAAAGATTAATAAAACATATTTTATTAATTTTGAACTTTTCAATAAATTATTTTTCAAACTCTTTAAAGAGAATAAATTAGATATAGACRAAGACAGTTCAGAAAACCTGGCTGAAATAGGCTAAAGCTATATGAAGCCCCTGGATAATTTGGTGAGGATTACAATGACTTCTCAGAGCAAAATCTGGTTTTCCATCTGTGTCTTCTGTAATCACTCCAGAGTATTTAGTGGCATATTGTATAGATATATTTATAGTATTTTTTGTCTATGATCTGGTTACTGGGACCTCGACATGACATACTCTCAATGACTAAATTACTTAGTATCTGACTGAAATGGACATAATTGCACATACTCCCACTTTCCAGCCCTGACAATRGAATTTCTCATTCTTTGAGATTCCTCCTTGGATGAACAGTCATGAAAAGCAAATATGGATTCCACTGTTTCTCATGTTTTTGCAGAGAATTCTAGCTTAAGTGATACCTGAACTAATAAATCTAAGAAGCATCACACTAATTACTTTTTTTTTTAAAGATAAACTTTTGTCTGTACTTCACTGTGTATTGCACTGCATATTGCAAAACAGATTCCATTCAAAGGCCTGACACATCACCATTCTAATTAGTTGTTAATTTTACAGTTTTGTGTTTTCATGATTACTACAACTTCTGCATATATTCAATGCAGTGAGTCAAAATGTCTCATAATAATATACTGAAGAAAATGTACATAATATAATTTACTGGACAGCAATGCAAAGATGGCTTCAACTGTGCCTAAGAGGAGTTCCTTTAGAATATGACTGAAGGAATATTGAAGATATCAGAGTCAGTGACACAAAATATAGCACCTGGAGCATGATGGGATCAAATGAATTTACTGGATGTGTTAAGCCGTATACAACTTTTGCATCTTCAGCCTCAAATGTTCCTGATGGAAGAAGAAAACAAAAGAATGACAATCAAACTCAAAGGCATACATATTTTTGCCACACTGACTAAACACGACAGAGAACATCTTTTGCTACTTACCAAATATCCTGTCCCAGATAATGAGAGTGCCACCATAATTTTTGTCAATGCAGTAAGGATTTCTTCCTATAATAAAATTCATTTATGAGACAAGTAATGGGATAAAGAAGAAYACTAGCAACTGAATTATGAAGGAAAGTCATCATTAGCATCAYTTTATAACATAATTTCAAAAGCTAACCACTCCCCATACTTCTTTAATTTTTTTTTCTTAATAGCTTTATTGCTCTCTTTCTCTTCAGATTCAAACATACAAATCCATGCCCAAAATTCCTGTGAAATAAAAGGATTCATTTGTAGAGTAAAACCAGGTCAAAATATATTTATAAGAGAAAAATCAAAAAGCAAACAAAAATTATTTCACCAGTTTATACCCCAAAAAAATATATGCTAAATACATATATATGCAATCATCTCACTAATGGCTGTCAGGTGTCTCTGTCTCCTGTGTTATATGTCTGAGCCTGAACTATTAATTCTAGTGCGAGGAAAACTCATTCTTCTGGTTTTTCTAGGGAATGTATTTGTATATAAGCTGTCCTCTCGAAGTTATGAGTGAAGAAACACTGGTTACATATAGCCAGGTTCATGGAGATAGTCTGGAGCAGCTGTACAACCCTTGATCAGCTAGGGAATGATTCACYTTAACTCCAATCAGGATGAGAGGATTAGTTTAGATTTACACACGAGCAAATCAGAGCAGAGTGTCTCCCTCCAGGWTTACCAGTAGTTGTGCAAATTTAAGGATTAGACACTTAGAGCACCACAGTCTTTTTAAAAATAGTCTACACACTGCCATAAACACTGTGGATACAGTRATAATAAACATTASTAACATCCTCTCTACATAWAACTGCATTAGAGTCTGTTTCAAATTGCTCTTCCATTCCCCTTTTTTCAACTTACTATCTCTGCACACTAAGGACATCTGTGAAATTCACTTCAGTTTTCTCAGATATGTTCACAATACTTTTCAGTATGCAGTACAGTCATTAATACAATTTACATATTGTATTAATGTGTGCAATACAGTTTTGAAGGCCTCCCAATACTGATGAAAAGTCTACCATCATGCACTTCTGTGAAGTGAGATTTACCAACAATTCAGACAGGTGAAACCAAATCTCACTAAAATATTTACAAGTTCTTCTAAAACACAGCCATGTTTTTCACATTTATACAGTACTTGAAGCTGAATGCAAAATGATGTTTGTTGATGAGAATAATGAGATCTTTTTCTATTACTCTTCATACTTCAAAACATTGCATTTTTTGCTCGAAGTCTTCAAATTATTTCATGTTATCCAGACTTAATTGCTGYTCAATAATTAATCTTAAACATAAAACTGTTTAATAAGTTCTGAAAAAGTMTTTTTAAATATTGTGACATTTCTAACTGAACAGAGACCACTTCTGATGTAGWGGTTAAAATCAAAATCTTTCTATARAACTGATTTTACAGTATGATTTTACTACTTTATGATTACTATACAAATAGTGACCTTGACAAAAAAATAAAAACCACACCAGGAGTAAGGGATTCTTCATTTATCTTACCATGATGAACTCTGTGATGACTGGGAGTATTAAGAATCCATTCCAGAGGCCCAAGTTTGGTGATAACCTTAAAAAATTYAATGTTTCAATGAACTTGAAAATACTGTATGAGATCAAGTAGAAGTAAAGAAATGAAAAGGAGGAAAAGCAAAAGAAAGGATGCTTAACTTCTGGAGAACTGCATAAAATGACAGAAGTGCAATATTTTTTTCTGAACTATTTCACTGTGTAACAAAAATTTTCATTTAAAAATTAGTAAAATAAAAGCTACAAATTATTTTTTTTTTATCTAGAAGCTAAGTTCTTTTGATCTAGCAGTAATTTTTTTAATTGTTTTTATTATTCCATGAAAATCTTTGAGAGAACTGACAGTCATGAACTGATAATGGAATCACAAAGAAGAGATTGTCCCATTGTACTCAGMACTGGTGAGGCTGCACCTTGAGTTTCATGTTCAGTTTTGGGACTCTCACTTCAAGAATTTCACTTATGGAATACTTATGGATTTTTCTTATCCACATTAAGTGACACAGTTTGGGATTCAGTGTAACTCTAAGTTATGTGAACACTTTATGCCAGCAAATAGCTGGCATTGACCCAGAAACAAGTACTCCTGCCTTCAGTAYCTTTGCTTATTTCTTCTATCAATAATCTTCTTTTACCTCGGCACAAATGCAGTAACACAACAAACCTGATTGGGGAACTGATGTAAATCATAACTTTTGTTTTGTTTTTCTAACTGGATCAGTTCCTGATTTTGGTCCAATATGTGGTCACAAATGCACCAGCATGAGTCAGAAGAATGAAAAGTCAGTAGACCAGCACAAATTGATCATGGAGCTACAATCTAAGGCAATGAGCCAACAGTACAGAAAGGCCATGATCAYTTTAGTACCAAACCAAAAATGATAGAAAGTATCCATTGCCAAAAACTTACCCTAGTGTTTCAAGTTTTGTCAAAAAATGATGATGAATTAAGTTTGTACCAGCAGGATTTATGCTAAATTAGGTACTCTCATCTACTATGGAACTAGAGCAAAGACCAAAAAGGGCCTTTATTCACAAYATATTCTTAAATTATATCTATTCACTGTGTCTGATTATGGCCATAAATATCTTGCAACTAAAAGGGGGCAGAGGGCATAGAAGCAGATAAATCAAAATTCTTAGACTTTCAGAAATAAACCCAAGAATCTAACATTTTTTCCTTTTAGAGAATTTAGTTAGTAAATTCAACACTCAGAGTGCCAAAAGGGGTGATCTGTAATATAATAGAGATAATACTGGCAAAAAAAAAAATCATTTAGAGGGGCAAACAGTCATTACTCATGAGAGCAGGTCTATTAATCTAAAAACTAAACATACAAAGATTTTCATTCCTTCAAGGTTTACAGAACAAAGTCCTGAAATACGGTGATTCCACATCTCTTTAATTTACAGTTCTGCAAGTGCAAGTAGATTTAGATACAAAAATCAGACCTAGGAAATTCCTCAGATGTATTGAAATTGTTATGAGACATATAAATATAATAAAAGGAAAAGTATGTATTTTTTCATTTTTCTCTTCAATAACACCAAAAAGAACATCTACTGAATTGGTTAAGTAGAGAATTTCTGTAATTAAAGGATTATAGAAATTCGAAAATTCTTCAGGTACAGAGAACTGTAATATTTGGAGCATCTTTCTTAAAATCCTGCTCACATTTGACTGGAAAAGAAGAATCTTGAGAGACGTTTTTGTTCCATTTAACTAAGAAGCCCAGGACAACATAAATAGGATCAGTTCTCCTTCAAAATAAGYTCAACTCTGAAAAGACCATCTAAAGTAAGAAACGATCCATCATTCATGCTAGCTTCATTTTCTGCCTTTCTCAAGCAGAACATCCCACTGTTTTAAGATATGTCAGATGTGACCATTAAATTAATTTAATCTGAGCCAAATGTCTTGGATTGAACTGCAGTCCAGCACCTGAGAGAGAACTGATCTATCTAATAGACCACAACTAGTTTTGATCCTGTTGGTTTGAGCATATGTTTACTTCAGTATTTTAACAGTTTTTTGTGAAAATAAACCAAATCTGCACTAGGAGAGCAGAGAATCAGTAAGGAATAKCAGTCTTCACTTCTAGCCTACAGGTGGATTATAACACAATGTCCTCAGAACGAATGCCTTCAGGTCATGCCTCGATATCCAGCAGGCTGAATTAATATTTTAAAAATAAAATTCATCTTTTTTTAAGTCTACATAGTGCATTCGTATGCTAAAGCAGCACTTTATGTCTTGGGGCTCCCTAAGGACCTCAGGGATTTATGTAAAACTTTAAATTTTTTGACTAATACTAAAGCAAGTATTTTCTTTGGATAATGAAACTTTTCTCATCCTTTAAAACAGCCGTTCTTTGAGTGATGACATTCACAAATCTACTGAAACATCTTCTCCATGGCATAATTAGTGATTGATACCTGAGCCTACTCTGATTCATTATTCAGTCAAGGTCACCTCCATTGCAAAGACATTTTAGCCACACACTGACGAAAATATCATCTGAGACAACAATTACAACATATGACTTTTAGGCTCAAATGGGATACAGAGCTCTGTACCTGATGAAGCAAAAATCTAGTACGCTGACATTAGCAATCCAGAAATCAATCCTTTTGTCTAAAACACATCAGAAATATTTTTCAACCAGATAGTCAAAATGGTACAGGGTGCCATTGCTAGAAACTTCCTTTGCTATCGGTAAGTTTACTTGTCGATATTTAGCACATTTTTAAAAAAAATAAAACATTCAAAACTTGTCAGAGGAAAACTTTTGGTGCCAAAAATACTATAAATATTTTATAAACATATGTGCTATAAATATAACCATATATGTTCCCAAGAAATAGAAAGATATCACCACTGGAGAACTGAATTTTAAAGGCTCTTGAAGCACTACATGGCAAAGAACATGGTTATTTTTTTTTTAATTTGTTGAATTTTTCTATATTCTGCCATCTTACCTGGGGCAAAACTCCTACAAGCAAACTTTTCACCAAAAATTGGATAGGATAGTAAGACAATTTTTGCCAGACAAGATTCTGACATGGTCATCAGGCTGACAGGAACTTACTACATTCATATTGAAAGAAATTAAATTTGTAAGAAATGACTCAGAAAAAAATTTAATGCAGTGCAGCAACAACCCTTATTCAAAAGATTATCCAAAGAGAAGAAAGGCAGTAGTAGGTATTCCACCTACCCATCTAACTTTCATCTGTCAGTCTGCTCTCATTTCTGTGTCATTATTGTATCCAGACATTTTCCTTGGAGAGTGGCAATTTCAAAGGAGCTCATAAGTATTCTTTGTAGCRGTAACATGGCTTACACTGCAGTTCTAACCAGTCACTAAAGCATATATACCACTAAATTTCAGCCATTCAAGACAGAAAAACAGCTTAAAATATCATTGTGTTCAAATTGGCTTCTTAACAGTAAGAGCACTCATGATCACATATTACAAAAAGAAAATTAAAWTTTTTTAAAGAACACCAATAAATGTGATAAGATCAGCTTAGTTTTTGATGCTTGCAATCAGGATTGGCATCTTAAAAAAACCTGCTACTCTAATTTTTGTTATCTGACCTTTTCACTGGAAAGTATTTTCAAAAGTAAAAAGAAAAAAGCAAAAAAAAAAAGCTTAAATGTCATCGTTCAATAGCCCTACCATCAGTACTTCAAACCTTACTTCATATTATCAAAAGAAAAAAATCTTCCTGTGAAAATAAAATATTCTTACTCTTTATATCATCAACTTACATTGATTTCAGGAACACAGAAAAATAGCTACCAATTCCCTAAAAGTTAAAATACCCCCAGATGTTGCCCAATGATAACCTTATCTGTATTCTGACCAWTATGACTGGGGATTTACATTTGTGTTTGTTTCCCTGATACAGACACCTACTGTTCTAAATCAACTCCTGTCTCCAATTTTTCCWTTCTCAATTAACACATCATGTGCACCTAAACTCCCATGCCAATGACCCACAGATGAACTGCAGCATTCCAACAAAACTATTTTCCTGTTTCCTTTATTTTTTAACATCCCATTGCCACAAAAAATAATTTTTCACTTGTCAAAATCTTTACAAATGGACTCAATAAGTTACCTGAAAATCAGATATGTGAGCGTCTTATATTTACCAGTGATAAAAGTTTTATAAAAAGTCCACAAAACAGGTATTCTTTCTTTCTTTCTTTTCATTAAAAACCGACACGTTTCCTCTGCTGTGCTTGGGTATCACTAAACAAAAAAGCAGAATTATTGACAATAATTGAAGCAACTCCAAAAGCAGCGTAATAAATAAGTCATGCTTAGAAATACTTTCAATCATTACTGAATAAAATATCCTGGAACTGAAATCTTCAAACATAGTGAGAACGAAATGCATTTTTTCTATGATTGTGTCTTATATAAAGATGTTTCCTTTGTGACAGCAATCCCTCGCCTAAAGGAAAAGAACATTGTGCAATATCTCTTGTGGCATATAAGCACCTCCGTTTGCGGTCTCAGAGTTTGTCAGCACCAAGGGAAATCTTTATTGMCTGGTACCTGCACCACTTCAATGTAGTTCTTGTTTAAGTAATGAGAAAAAATCGTGACATGAAATCCAAGGGAAACTTTACATCTTGTGTAACAACTCCTCCTGTCACCACTACCACATGAATCTTAACTTAACTCTGTTTCAATGTGAATGTTAGGAAGGAATGTCAACTGAGTAAAGTAGGCAACCTTACAGTAAAACCATTCGTATATAAAAAGTTCTGGGTTTGTTTTTTTCCCTTTGAGCATAAGGAAAGCTGTTTGTAGCACAGCATTACTTTCAATATCATAATGTTACTGATCTACAGGACAGGAGAGGGTAAATTCATCCCTGGAGCATCTCTAAGGAGCACTCTGAACTTAACTTTGGTCTTTCTGTTRGACTAGTTGGTAGTAAAACACATATTACAATTCATTTCCTCATCAAAATCAAGATAAGATTCTTWTTCCTGGTATATAAATCTATATTTCAGACAGT